ACTCAAACCATATCTGATCTATTAAATTTAATTCTTTTTCTCTTACAAAGACATTGAAAAGTTCGAAGGTCCTCTATATTTTAAAAATTAACGATTCAATATGTCGTTACGAAAGAAAAAAATGAGATTCATATTTATGCATCTCCACTGTAAAGCTTTTCCATTGGTTGTCATCCGAAAATAATTTTGAACTGCAGGTCTTTCAATAAGAAAACAAAGATATAAACATATCATTGAAGAAAAAGAAAGGATTTCATTCATTTCGCTTAGGTTCGACTCGAATAACACAAATAGTATACAGTTGATCGATAGAAGCACAGTTACTATTGTTAGAGAAAAAGAATTAAGTCATTTTTTATCTTGTTCGTTTACTGAATGAGCAACACAAAATTCATTATAATGTTTGTTTCAATTGAATTTTTTTTCGTTCTAAAATTAAAAAGAAATGATTTTTTCGAACTACATCCATAAAATTAAATCTCGTTCTTCTAATGTTAATCCATGTTCATCTGCATCATAATGGTCATCACTTTAAACATAAACATGATGATAAGAAGAAGAAGGATCAGTGATGATTTTTGGTTTAGTTTTTGTAAAAAAAAAAAAGAATAGTTAAAATTACTATCAGAATATTTTAAAGACTTAATCAAATTGATGAGAGACACAGTTTAACTAGAAATGACCTTATACTTAGACAAATACCGAGTCTGAACTTTGTCTAAGAAATTTTAAGCATGGTATGCTAGAAACATAATTTTATAGTTTATTTTAATCAAAACAAATATTATCTTTGAAGTTAGTACTAAAATGTCAACGAATCATTCATAGATGTTCAAAATATTTTTGTAAACTTTGTTTATTTTTGGAAAAGTTTTCTCTGGTTCCTGGTAAGAGGGTGTGGGTGTGTGTTGTGGATATCTATTCTTCTGCGAAGAGTCACCCACACCCACACCCACACCCTACACCTACACTCACACCCACACCTACATCCACACCCACACCCCACACCTAGCTACTCATATTCGTTTGGCAAAATTGCAAGATTAAGAATCAATTTAAAGGAAAGTCTCTGGGTTACTCACTAAGTGTATTTTTGTTGAATAATTTTGGTGTTAACTGCATTGCAGTTATAGCAGTTGATACTTCTTTGTGACCATCATCATTGACTTCTGCTAAATGGATAACATGGAGCTTGCCAGGTTTCAATGCGTTTCTTTTGACGCGAAGTTAGGTTCCAATACCTAACACTATTTCTTTCTCGTTTGGGTATACGGTGTAACCAGAAACATTTTTCCCGGTAGTAGCTTCGATCATGAATAAGGTAGAGTTGTCATCTGGGTTTAAGAATTTTTCGGCTGTATTAGCTGATAGTCAACAAGAAGTAATGTTCCACCAAGTGAATAAATCATCCTCGTGATAATACCCGCTAAGGTCACCAGATACACCGCCAAATACATGCCTTCGCTGGAGGTAATTTTTCACGAGCTGAATCGAACAATTTGAGATAGTGAAACGATTATTTTGCTTTGCTCCGAGCTTCATCACGCAATGTTTGGTTCAAAACACGGTAAAAACTGTGTTCACCTGCTTCCATTGTGTATAAAAATACAGCAGCCGACTCATCATGAATGAGATCATGTTCGGAAGGAAGATGACAATGTTTCTTGGTTTCTCTAATAGAGCGATCTAATTGATTAATCTTTGATGACAAAGGTGTCAATGCTTGCTCGAGAGGTACTATTGTACAGGCCCAGTATCCAGCAATAGGTGCCAGTTGGTTTTTTGCCAGATGAAACTCGTTGAATCAATTCATTTAAACCACGTTAATCTTATAGTCTACAAAAAGTTTATCAAAGTAATGATGCTAAAATCTTTTAAATGTCGTTTCTTCTAAGAATGTGGATGCGAGTGTGAGCTGTGTGTAGAATAGAGACCTCATACACACACACACCTACCCTCTTTGCCAATGTCGTAGATGTCTCAATCATTTTCAATATTCAGAGCCTCTCAGCATTATGCACACAATATTTCAAATACTATCCTCTGTTTTTCGAATCTTTCTAATAAGTTACCCACCACAGTAAAGCTATTATAGTCAAAGTATTCGTAATAATTTGAGTGATGTGTGGTTGTTGATTTTTGTTTTTCTTGTGTCTTACACCGTCCTCCTTTTTTTCCAAATGACTTGTTTTTTTGTTTTTGTAGCATCACAACACTTTCTTTTTACCTTTTTTTGTCGTTTTTTCGAAATTCTTTTCAAATAAGCACTCTCTGGATAAGAACTGCACATAGCAACAGTAAAACATGCACAAGAAGAATAGACTACAACTGGTTGCAAGGAAGCAAAATAAAAGTCATGTTTGCTTAATGAAACTCATTTGATATGAAATACACTGTTTGATATTCACTTCTGTATGATTTGAGGTGATTGAATTCGTTCGAAAACAGACAAGAACTAATACTGACACCACTCATCGCACACCTATTCAATAGGTCGATTATTAAGGGTGTGGGTGTTGATTAAGGGTTCATTAGACACTCACACACCCACACTCTAATTTTTCTTTTTATGGTTGATCCTGAGTGTGAATAGATACGTATGTGAAGAAAAGACTTCTATCCACACCCACAACCAGAGATGAATTTCATCAAAAAGCTACTTTGAAAGTACCAATGAGGTTCTAAAATTATAAAATATGACAGCGAAAGTCATTTTTGAGTCAACTCTGAGGGGTGCTAAGAGCGAATTTTTCAACGAAAAAAAAAGTTTGTGAAAATAATTGAAACATAAGCAATTTCGATTAGTTCGGAGTGCTGATTCAGAATATCATAGTAGTTTTCATAAAAATCGTAATTTTATTATCTAAAACTACTAAATAAAAGTAACAAAGGCTCAAAATCATGTTTTGAGGATAGTATTCGTAATGTTTCCTTGACCAGCTGATATTTTTATACAATTGTAGAACACTTGAAAATTGCTATCGAACCATAGCATGTAATAAATTATTCCTAATGAGCTCAGTATCTATAGAAAGTTTTAAGTCGAAACTAAATAAAATGAGTGCTCTTAATGTACCTGAGAAAAACCATGACATTAAAATAGACAACGCTGTAACCATAGAATATCTCAGCAGCAATAAGCTAAGAAGTCGAGCTCTTCACAGGGTAGTCATAGGTCATTTAAGTCTATATGAGGCACGTAGTCTTGATCTGAAAGCGATTAGTCAGTTGGAGAACTTCATTCGTGAGAATTTCATATGAACATCCGCGAAAAATCATTGAAAGAGTAATACAAAAGATGTCGCAGAAGTTCTAAAATGATATTAAACTTCATTCTTGTATTCAACATAAGCACAGTTGTACCGACTTAATACTAAATAATTGTTAAGTTTTAGGTCAATATCTGTTGCTTTAGATGAAAACTTGTAAGAATATCATCATTCACTTTTACATCAATTTCCCTCAATGGCTTTAGTTGATAACTTCAAAATAAAGTAAAACATATCAATTTATCAACGCTTGTGTACTTGATTATCATCTTGAATCATCACTAATTTTAATCGGTCTGGCATTGTATTGATCGTCCGTTCATATGGAGAAATAATACTCAGATGAATGCATGCGAACTGATTCCGACAAGAAAACACTAGATATTGATTGAGCTTACAAACAGTGATCCAGGCTTGTTGATATTTCTAATAGGAAATACTCGTGAGACATTCTGCTCTGAAATACTGTTTTCACATTGCATTGATTTCCAGTGTTTTCCAAGAGAACTTGACGAAATTCGTTTGTTCTCTAAGGCACAAATCATCAACTTAGATATTGGATTTCGTCGAATAAGCCTTGAAATCTAGCATTGATCGAAATCAAATGAAAGAGCAAAAGTTACGGTACATTTCTGTAGATTTTGTTTGAAGCTCTATCGTAGCAAGGATAAATTACAAAAAAAAATTGGTACTTGATGGTATGCTTAGCCTTGTCAAATAAAAGATATTCAATTTGTCCCTCTTCCAAACAGCCATGATATCCTTCCTATGTAGAATTTAGTACTATAGGAAGCATTTGTATTGAATTTCCCATTATTTGTAGTGTTTTGACAGCCTCTGGATATAGAAGTACTCGAGTTTCATTACAAAAAAACCATAGAACGAACTCAAGACTTGTCAGAAAACTCGGTTCATATATTCGCGATAACATACACTAAGTATTCTAGAAAAAAAAATGAATCAGGAATATAATGAAGCGATGCTTCATCAAAATATGCCAGTTTTGAGATTTTTGATTGATATTCATTCAACACACAAACTTTTGCTGGCCACACTCTCAGGTTGGCGTCATAATAACATCTGTGATGCAGATTTGGTTAGAATCCGTAAGATCTAGGAAAAACTCTTCAGTAACATACAAATAATATGATGATTGAGTCCCTCTCCCTCTAAATAGGACTTTCAAGCTATTACACAGTATTGAGCTTGTCTGACTATGTGAAGAAAAACTATTTTTGCCTTATACCTTATTATCCATTGAAAACTAATACTCGCCGTTGATGAATCTCGTATTCCTGCTGCATTTTTTTGCCTTTGTTAACTATTTAAGATATGCATTACTCAATGAAACTACGAAATTCTATGAAAAAGCTGTCAAATTTCTCATATGAAAACCACATAAACATTCAGAAGAGGCGAAGTGTATGAGTGAATTTAAAAAAATAATAAACCTTCAAAAATGAGGATATTAGAAGTCAGACAAGATATCTCGAGTGTATTGACATAAGAATCTTTTCTGGCCGGGACTAGAATAAAAAGTGATTGACCTTGCTCATCACTAACCTCAATATCATGTAATCAGTCGAATACCCCAAGTTTCAGAAAATAAGAGGCTGAAGTTTGTTGGAGTTTTGACTTTAAAGAGGAGAGGGATGGGCATTAATGTTTTGAATCTATTTAAAAAATAGATAAAAAAACACTTTACAAAACATATGAATAAAACACTAGATATTAATTATTATCAAGCCATACATGCAAAGTATATTGACTTTCCCATCGTGAGACATGTCTTTTCATAACTGGTAGATATTCAATAAATTTGCTATTAGTTAAAATCAAATTTTGTGCATGTTCAAAAGTAACACTTTTTAAATGTTTAAAATTTTCAATAATAAATTTAATATCATCACTATTTTTGACTCGAATATGTAAATGTTTTATATTTGGAGTTATCATTGAATATATTGTTTCAATACTTGTTGTATAATCATTTGAAGCCCAATAATCAAATAAAGATAATATATTAATATTATGAGCATATATGAGTAATTTTTTAATACTATGAACAATACTTGGCATATATTCATAAGAAAAATTAATAGATAATGAAAGTTTTACAATATTAAAAAGATTGATTGTTGTCGAAAGAAATCTAAATGAATTTTCAGGCCATTCATCAGCAATACCAAGAGTAAGTTCAGTAACATTTCGAAATTGTAAATAATTAATATTTTCTATTTCATCACTATCCATAACTTTACTTAAATGTATATCTAATTGTTTAACATTATCCATCATCATTGGATCATGATTATTTATTGTAAAATTCGAAGCAGAAACTTTACTTTTTTCTGAATGATATACAAAATGTAAATTACATATTGGTAATGAATAAAGTATAAGTTTATGTATATAAATAATATAATCACATATAACAAGACAATGTTTTTCATCAAGCCAAAATGATGTTTGATAAAGTGAAATAATTTGTTCGATATAATTTGTATCAAAATTTACATGAGTAAAAACTGAAATAAAAAAATCAAATTTTTCTAATAAAGGAAGTTTTGTTTTAATTAATTGTTCCCATCGATAACCATCAAATGAAGAATTAAATAAATTTCCTGAACCAATTAATTTAAGATAAATAAGTGCAGGTGTTAATGAAAGACATAATTCAAGTTTATTCATTTGTATACGACCACCTTCACATGTCAATGATTTTAATTGTAAAAATGGTGTTTGATTTACATCTATTGAAATATTTTCATCAGTATCATTGGCATTAAAATCTTTTAAAATTATTGTTTGTAAACACGGAGAATATTCAAGAATAATATAGAATTGATTAAGTGTTATACTGTTCTTTATGCTAAGATACTTTATAGTACAATTAATAGGCCATTGAAATTCTTTCATATTTTTTGGCCAAATATTTAAATCAAGTTTTTGAAGAGTATAATGTTCTATAGTTGATGATAAAAGAGTTAATACAGGATTTTTACCAATATTTAATGTTTGTGAATCAATTGATAGAGAAATTAATGAAGAATGAATAGTATAATCCAAAAATATTTTTAAATGATTAGATTCAATTCGAATAAGTTTTAATGAACGAAGTCGAAGAAATTGATTAATATCGAATAATGAAATAAATAATTGTATTTGACCATGAGTTTTATCTTTATCAGATAATGTTAATGAAACAACTTGTTCAAATGGAATCATATGACAAATACGAAGAAATTTTGTTTTTGATATAGATTCAAAATTAAAATTAAAATAATTATATGAATTTGTAATTAAATCAAAACGTTTACATACATAACGAAATGAAAAGAGAATTGTTTGAATATCAAGATTATCGAGAATATGATGAAGAATTTCAACAGGTAATATATCAAGAGATGAATTAGACATTCTAATAATAAGTTTTAAAAAAAAAAGCAAAGAAAAAGAAACAATAATATATAAATAAATTATTATTTTTTTTTTTGTATTTAATATTTGAATAAATTTATCATACAAAAATGATAATTATAAAAGAAAAAAAAAGACAAACGACAATACGATAGAAGCGCTATGAGCAATAAGATTGTTTTTATTGCTTGTAATATTTGATAGAGTTTAACCAATGAAAATAACAAACGAAATTATTTATTCCTTCCTTTACATGCTTGTCTCAATCAATGAGTCATGAACATATTAATGTGTATCCAGTTATGTTAATGCATTTCAAATGTATGTAAGTAAGGTTTTACTCATTTATCTAAAGCACTTTTTTTTTTCTATCAAAAAGATTGATGAAATCTTGACCTATAAATGTAATTTAAAAAGTCTATTATATATTGTTTTTAATTGATTACAATTTCTCATCAGATTATACATCTAACATAGTTTCACTTCATAAATCTTTCTCTATCAATAAGATTTTGTATCCATTCATTTTAATCATTGGAGATTATTTTTCTTCGATTTCAAACAAATTTTTTTTTTTTGTTGTATTATTTTGTTAACATTAAGCATTGTTGAAAGTAAAGAACTGTCTACTTAAGTATCCTGGATTAGACTACGAAATTGTGTAGAATTTTTTTTCAGAGTTGTATTAATTATTTATAGATTTATATTTTTGTCTTATAGAGTAATTAATGTAGAGTTTGGTGGTGTTAACAAAAAATTAAAACATCAGATAGATACAAAAGTTCTGAAATTTATATCGAGAAATCTTCATCTTTTCATTTTTGAGATTAAAGATTGTAGAATATATGACATCTTTAATCTCAATAATTCCATCATCAAAATATATTTAAAATTTTTATAGATAAATTCACTATGAAGAAATTATATTAAAATCTTGTACTATTGATATTTTCAATCATAACTTGATGTGTCAATATTTTAATTCAGAAAATAAATGAACTATAACCATAATAAATTTTTTAAGCTATACATGAAGATTTAGATAATGGTATGACTCATGAAACAAAAGTAGTTTTAAAGGTGAAGAATTTTAAAAATTGACATAGACAATTTTTTGAGTACATTAAAGAAATATTCAATCTAAATAATCACCTAATGTTCTAATAACCACAAATTAGTCTCGTTTTATAGTTTTACATATTTTAATACCTTGATAATAATATTGAAAATAATAGTCTTCTATTTGCCTATGTTCTTTAACATATAATTTAAACTGCAGGTATCTCATTTATACATGTCAATTTACCTTGTAGATCATTTCGTAAAGAATATATATCTTATTTTTATGGAAAACATGATAAAAAATACACCAAGTATTGCTGAAGAAGATGAACTAACTGATATTGATCAATCTAATTATGATCAATTACGTATTTGGAATAATGTACAAACACAAACTAATCTTGTCAAAAGTCAAAACGAACAATTTCCATTCAAGACAACAGCTATAATGAAGTACATAGTTATTGAAAATATTTTGTATAAGAATTAAAAAAAAAAATTTGATAATATTAATTATTTGTTATAGAACAGGTTTAATATCATGGCGTTTTCCTCGTCTTTTACTTGATTTTATATCTGTTTCTCCACATATGCTTGTTCATGCAGAAGAACAATTGTATCAAGGTAATACTATAATCAATTTCATTCTTATTCTTAATCATATGTTTTTATAGGTTTGAAAAATAAATATTTCGGTGAATATATACATATACGGTGAGTTGAAAAAAATAAATTTATTTTCATAGATATTATTTTCTTTTTTTTTGTTTGTTTTAGCGGTGATAATTCAATATGGACAATTCGAAGTTTATATTCACCTGAAAATGCTATTCCAATTGTACTTATTCATGATTTTGGTTGTGCTAGTGGTATATGGATAGAAAATATCGATTTTTTAAGTGCACGTCATCCACTTTATATGTTTGATATACTTGGTTTTGGTCGTTCATCACGACCAATATTTGATCAAACAAATTCTACTAAAGCTGAAACAAAATTTATTGAATCAATTGAAGATTGGCGTATAGCTGTTGGTTTACAAGAAAAATTTTTTTTAGTTGGTCATGGTTTTGGAGCATATTTGGCTACATTGTATACAATTCGATATGGATCATATATTAAAAAATTAATTCTTCTTGATCCTTGGGGTTTTAATCCGAAGCCAGATGAATGTCAATTACATTTATCTACACCATTTTGGATTAAGTGTCTTGCATATATTACAGAAACATGGACATCATTTTCAGCATTTCGATATCTTGGACCTCTAGGTAAACTATTAATATAGTTTATTTTAAGCGAGAGAAGTTTCTTTTGATCGTAGTTCCAATTAAAAATAGTTTGGTCGGGGCTTCGGTCACGATTTCGGCTCCATCTTGTCTATTTCTACTTTACAGTCTACTATTTTCTTCATTTGTATTATTTTAGGATTACCAGTATTAAAATTCCTTGCACCACGTTGGAAACGTCTAACACCAGTCGATAATTCAAATATAAAATCAGATACTCTCTATGAATATTTATATCATGTTAATGTACAACCAGCTAGGTATATTATTTTTTCTTTACTTACGAAAAATATAATTTTAAAAGTAAATTTTTCTTTTTGCTAAAAAGTGGTGATGTTGGTTTTCAAGCATTGGCATCATGGTACGGTTGGGCTAAAGAACCTATTGTTCAAGTAAATCATTCTCGTTTGGAAAATATTTCTGATGAAATTTCAATAGTATTTATCTATGGATCACGTACACATATTGATAGTTCAGTTGCACAACAAATACTTCATCAACGTGGTTCAGATAATACATGTATCAAAGTATTAAATACAAAAGAAAATATGTTTTTTGTTTGTTTATATTTTTATAATAATTTATTTAGATTATTCATAATGCAGCACATTTCTTTTTTATGGAAAAACCAATACAATTTCATGAAGTGATGATTGATATATTAAGTGATTTATCAGATGGTGTCCATTCATTAGCATCGGAAGATAATCGAATAACAACTACAATACGTCGAGAATAAAATATATGTGGTTTGTTTTTAGTCAGATGAAATGTTACTTGACTCTTTTGTAAATTTTTTATATTCGATCTGTCGTTTTTTTTTTGAATATCAACGGTGATAGTTTGTTGTTACATAAAATTTGATTTAATTTTACATAGAAAAAAGACTCTCGAAATATTGATCATTGTTCGTCATCTCCATCAAAGGTTATTGATCAATTGATTATTCTAAAATGACAGAAATACTATCAAATAATGAACTAAATATTTTATCACTTGCGTTTGTATTTTCAAACTTTGGAAAAAAAAGATTCTTTAATCATTGACATGTCATCTAGAACTAGCCATGTGTATCACCAACACAACGAAAATATTGAGTGTCTATTCGAAGGTAATTTTTATCAGTTGATGTTTTGTTTAATAGTCGTAAATAAAACAAGATTTAAGCGAAAAACAAAAAGTTGAAGTATAAAACTTGATGAGAAAAATAAATCTTTCATTCTACTATCATAATTTCAATACAACCAAAACGGCTATAATTAAATAATTGTAGGTGAACGCGAAGTTATTCTACTGTTTTTTTTTGTTACTTTTTATTATCTCAAGCAGTTTTTGAAAAATAATTTAGAACTTAAATTTTTCTCCAAGATACCGCCTTTTTACAACAGCTTTTACTAGGGAGTTGGCATATAGAATGGACTCGAAAAATACGGTATCTCTGCAGCAATAAACTAAGTACCAGAGCTCTTCTTTAAGTGATTTATAATACATTACAATCTACATGACGCACATATTCTCAAATTGAAATCGATTAATTAGCTGGACAACGTTGATTGTTAGCCCTATTAACTAAAGTCGTAATCATTGACAATATTCTAAAATTGATTTTTTAAGACGACTACCATAAAACAACACTGCTGTAAACAACTTATTTGAATAGATCCATGAGATTTGAGAGAAAAACAGAAAATATTTAAGAAACAGGACGTTTATAACGTATAGCAAAATAGCTAATAGTATTTTTCCCAGTTATAATAAAACTTTCATTACTAACTTAACTTGGACGAGGTGGGCCATTAGTTATTTACATTATTCTAGTTAATAAACGATTGCAAGCTGTATTTTGATGATATCTCTTTATAATAAAGATACTTCTTCTCTGTTGCATATCTGAAGAAGGATGATGAAGAAGTGAGTCCCAAAATAAATAAAATTAAACGATATCTCCCTATTTTTAGAAACAGCAGCTACATTATCTTTCACATCTTAATCCTACAATGATTGCACTACAAGCTTTTATATGATTTAACATTGAAATTTCCGTTAAATTAGATGTTTCAGTTATAAAACATGTTCGAGCCGATCTTCGTAAAAAATTTAAAAGATTAGTTGATGATGATCGAATATTGATTTATTTATTTCATTATAATACTCAATTACTAACTAGTGAAGAAGTCTTTCGAACTATATTAGTGATTGTTTTGTTTGAGCAAAAAGTTTAAAAATTGATTTGATTTTTAAATAGTCTTATAAATGTTTTCTTTTTCTATTTTTCTATTTTTCTTTTTTAATTAGAACCAATGATTGAAAGAATTCATTTATTAGTTCAATAAATTCCAATATATTTTCTTCACAGTGAACAATTTTGAATAACAATGAAATCCTCGTTAGTTATTCAAGAAATTCGTGAAAATACTTTTGTTGAAACAATAAAAGAAGCTGGACATCATGTAAACTGTTGTTTTAAGTAATTCCCATAGTATCTAATTCAATTCTTTTGTTTAGATTTATGCTGATACATCTGAAGAATTTGAAATGTATTCACAACGGATTCTATATAATAACTAACTGAGGCAATAGTTTGATCGTTTCTTATGACAACAGTAATTTAATTTTTTGTTTTGTTATATAATCTATGTTTATATAATAATTTTTGTATACATGTTGATTAATAAGTTGAATACATAGGTTATGTTCTTTTTTTGTATAATCAATCGAAATTTTTTGTGTATTTTATTAAGGATAATTTTGGAATTTTTTCTTATTCCTTCAATGTCATTCATATATATATTTGCTGACTACTACTGCATTTGAACGTTCTTTATCTATTAGACGACACGTTATAAATATATGACTTGAGTTTGTTCGAAGTAACTATAGCTTCACGGGTTTAGTAAATACAACTGATTATTTGATTTATGCACATTCAAGCAAATAGTTGTTTAATATATTGTATACATTCGAGAAATATTAATATTATTCTGTTTGAAAATATTCTATTTTATAGTTGTTACTCATTTTATTCAATCTTGATTTTCTTCCTTGAATGACTAGTAATAATATATGGGCAAAAAGTTCGTGACAACTTTCCAATCGATACATCTTTGCAACTACTTAAGTGATGTCAACTAGTAAATAGTCATTCTAAAGATCATTTAAGAGTATACTTATTGTGCAAAGATGAAGACTTCAGATTCAGAAATAAGAGATATATAAATGTAAGAATATTATTAACATTCTTCAGACACATTTGTAATCCTTGTTGAAAAAGTCTTTGTACTATGCCTTTGTTCAGTTCTCGACCACATATAACTCACTTGAGAGAATCAAAGATAATCAGCCAGAAAGAATATTTCATGGTCTTTCTAAATAAATGTTCAAAGCTTTTTTTTTCTAAGTTATGTTTGATTCATTAGAGGGAAATTCTTGAAAGGCCATAAATGGAAGTTTTATAAAACGCTCAGTTACCAGGTCTTAGTACTTGTGTTTGCTCATGTTTTGAACATTCAGATGCCATTGAGAAGAATGAAAAGTAGTCAGGTAGAGGTTTATCACGTGTATGTCAAAATGTTTTATTTGTTCCATATAGGCTTTATATTTGATTACATTATTCATAATGTGAACTCTATAGTGTTTTTTTAAAATATGTTTGACGAAATTATGTTGGTAATAAATGTAAAGTCAAGATCATACAATTTTTTTTTTGTGTTTTCAATTTTTAATATAAACATAAGAAAATATCATAAACCTATTCGATTAACTATCAACAATCAAAAATATTTACATCAATATCTCGATATCATCAATTACTGAATTCCTAGTCTTCAATGGTTTAAATAGCGAAATATTCTGATGTTCACAACAAAATTATTCATAATGAGTCATCATAAGCAGACAAATAAACGCTCATTGTCATCGTAAAACCAATGACTTTAAATGAGATATAAAATAAATATTATATTCAAGTAAAATTGAATCATAGCCTATCGTACTAAAAAAAGTTCATTCATTTGTTTAAAAAAAAACTCTAATTGAATGTAAATACAAATATTCATCATTAATGAAAGATATTTATTGGCACAAATTGATTAGTTATCTTTAAGCTTTATCCAAATCGATTACCAAGGACATGGTAATTAGAATTAGAGTCCTGCAACGGGGCCGGGTACCCGGCACCCGATCGGAGCCGAAACTGTGGTCCGGGTACAAATTTGCCGGGTCGGTTCGGGTGCCGGGTATAAAAAAAAATGCCGGGTCGGGTGCAGGATTTGAGCATACCCGGTACCCGACCGGTAGTCGATGACATCTTAACAAGTAAAAGTATTTTACACTCTAGGATAGAGTCCTGCAACGGGGCCGGATACCCGGGACCCGATCGGATCCGGAACTGTGGTCCGGGTACAAATTGTTACTTGATGAAATTAAAATAATAGTATATTTTGCCATATGAAATAAAAGTTTGAAAAGTGAATATAATTTTGACAATAACAATCAAGTGCTGACTATTTCAAGGCTGGGCCGGGTCCGGTCGGGTACCGGGTAGAGCTATCCGGGTCCGGTTCGGTTCCGGGTGGAAGATGACCGGGTCTGGTCGGATTCCGGGTTTGAAAAAAATGAGCCGGGCCGGGTCCGGGTGCGAAAAGTAGTACCCGTGCAGGACTCTAATTAGAATGAATTAATAATCAATATAAAAAATTGAACTCGAATTGCATCCTTAATATTCCACTTGTACATTAGCTTTTCTTTTCAGTTCAGTTTGTTTGATGTTTGTGAAATGTGAACAAAAAAGTAATTCGAGACTTTTTATTCTTCATCATATATAAATTTAATCCATGATGATTTAGTATAACAATAAACTCTACATTATGAAACTGATAAATCAAAAAAAGAGCGAAAATTCTTTATACTATGTCCTTGTTTTATAGTTTATATAGAGAATTACGTTGCAAAACTCGCAGCACTAATTTTCTTTTTGTTCTTATCACCTAATAGCAAGAATTGGCATGTTATTTGTTCATTTGACTTATCCGTATACATTAGTAGGAGGACAACTATTTCGTATGTATTGCATATTATTTGTCAATGATTTATTGTCAAAGTATTGAAAATAGAAAACAATATTGAACGAACAAGCTTTACACGTATTGTCAATATTACAAATTGATCAATTATTTGTATCAAGAGATAGTTGACAAACAAATATTCAGAGAAAGAAAATTTTCTGTTTTCATACTTCTGAAATACATTTATTTTCATATATATTTTCTAGAATTCTAAAAATACGGATCGAAGAACAAAAAAGTGTGAAAAAATTTAGTTCTATAACTCATATTTCAGCAACATTCATATAAAAAAAAATAATCATCATCTTTTTCATTTTATCTTACTATAAATGAGATGATTGCCAACTCTGCAAGTTTTATATGCAAACCATAAAGTTTTCTTTAAGGAATCCAGTATATATTTTTATAGATCACTTATTCTCTATCAAATCAATACAATGTCAGATTTTAAAACTATTTTTAGAGCTATTTCTAATTCATATGTTTTTATAATTTTGTCAATTAGGTTACAGTTAATGTAAATGTTATGTTCGGTATTTTTTGTTGGTTCTGTAGTTTCTTTATGATGATAATCACAACGGTTAGATTACACTTTAATGACCTTATATACATATATCTCTCTCTTATTATATAGAAACAATAGGTACACATATCAGATGTTAAATGAAAGGTGAAATAAACCAATAGATAACATAATACAGCAGTAAAAAACTACATGGGTCATTACTTCAAGGCCTAAAAGATAGTAAAGGTAAAAAACAAGAGAAGATTCTAGATAAAATACCTGACAGAACGAAAGAAAAGATAGTCATAATTATTATACATATGTACAGAACGAATGAAAACAAACATATACTGAAAATACCTTTAATAACTTTTTCTTGTGGTAAGTTATGAATGCGTGCTATAACAGTAATAATTTAAAATATAAATTGAAAATCTATTTCAAAGTCTGATCCTATCACTGTTCACGATCAGTTCAATGTTGCATGAGTCGAGTCTCGAAGTCCAATGCAGAGCTCTACTATAACAGTACTTTAATTTCAGCAATGCTTAATGATCATGATAGAATATTAAAAAAATACATTTGAAACAGGGAAAAAACCTCTAATAGCTAAAATGAATGAGTAAGAAACTTTGTTTGTAAAGAAAATATAAACCTGATTAATAAAACAATTGGAAAGAAATCAAATTGTAATCCTTTACTGTTCTAGAAAAAACAATCATCGAAAAATCAATAGTTCATGAAATTACTTAAAAGATACTTTGAAAGTATAGATTACATTTAATACTCATTTATCCAATGAGTAAAAATTTTACCTATATGCTGTCACAGAGTGTTTGAGTTCCAATCCTTGATGTTTTCATTCTCATGTTTCTGTTTTTTTTACAGTTCTTTCACCTTTTCTTTTCTTTCCTCTCAGATGGCTTTTTGTTTTCCTGCCTTGGCATTTTCACATCGAATTTTTTGCCCTCCTGTCCTCGCATTACCACATATCGGTCTTTTTGTCTGTGTCATCGGTACTATTACCTGTGGACTTTTCATCTTCCTATCTTCTGTATTTTCACACATGGGTTTTTTTCCTTCGTTTCCTCCGCATAGTCACACGCCAACGTTTTTTGTCTTCCTGTCTTCTGTATTGAGACATCTGGTTTTTTTTCTTCTCACTTCCTGTATGATCACACATGGGATTTTGCCCTTTCATATTCTTGTTGTCACCTCGATATATATATATAAAGAACGTAATTTCACGATATAGAATATTCCGATATGGGACTCGTTGTCATTGGTCTACAAAGTAAACCTTTGAAATGAGTTCCCATCATATTAGATATATGTACATTTGAAGCACACATTGCCATCACTCACACTCTATCTTTCGTGCAGAATACGCTAAATAACTTTGTTGGTATGATCAAACTACACATGCACCTGAATATGTTTTGCATCATTATTCATATTTATTTTTTTAAGCTTGAAAAAATATATAAAATGGTAAGTATATACATATACAGTAAGTTGAAGAGAAGAAATTTCATTCATAGATCAGTTTTTTTTCTTTTAGTGATAACACTTTAATTTGCATAAATCGAAGTTTATATTCACTTAAAGATACCATTCCAATTGTACTTATTCATGATTTTGATTGTGCTAGTAGTATATGGATAGAAAATATCAATTTTTAAAGTGCATGTCATGCACTTCATATGTTTGATATACTTGTTTTTGGACGCTCATCATAATGAATATTTAATCAAATAAGATTTCTTAAATTAATTGAAGATTGACGTATAATTGTTGGTGTACAAGAAAACTTCTTTTTTATTTGAACAAAGTTTTGAAGCATATTTAATTACACTGCACACAATTCGATATGCATAATTTATGAAAAAATTAATTCTTCTTGACCCTCGGAGTATTAATCCGAAATTAGATGAATGTCAATTACATTTATCTACACCATTTTGGATTAAGTGTCTTGCATATATTACAGAAACACGAACATCATTTTTAACACTGCGATATCTTGGACTATTAAGTACACTATTAAGACAGTCTATGCTTTTTGTTTCCGAAAACTCGAGAATAAGATTAGGAAATCAGTTAGAAAAAAAAATGATCTTTGGACGTAGCTAAATCTCGAAAGTAGACATGAGTTGCACCACTAGTTTTTGATTGTACTTCCCACTAAAAACAGTTTAGTCTGAGCCCCAATCAAGAGAAAATTTGGCTTCGGTCCCGATTCCAGTTCCATCTTATGCATATCTACTGTAAAGCCTACTATATCTAACCTATACATTATTTCAGGATTTTCTCTACTAAAATTTCTTGCACCATGTTGTTGGACACTTCTTACATAAGTTAATAATTTCAATTACAACATCAGATGCTCTCTATCAATACTTATATCATGTTAATGTACAACCAGATAGGTAAATTATTTTTATTTAATTATGAAAAGTTTAATTTAAAAAGAAACTTTTTCTTTATGTAAAATGTTGATGTTGGTTTTCAAACATTAGCTTCATGATATGATTGAGCTAAAGAACCCATTATTTAAGAAAAACATTCTCGTTTAGAAAATATTTCTAATGAAATTTCAATAGTATTTATTTATGAATTATGTAAATATCTTGATAATACAGCTGCACAACAAATACTTCATCAACGTTATTTAAGATAATACATATATCAAAGTATTAAATACAAAAGAAAATACGTTTTTTGTTTGTTTCTATTTTATATATGTAATAATTTATTTAGATTATTCATAATGCAACACATTTCTTTTTTTATGGAATAATCAATACAATTTCATGAAGTGATGATTGATATATTAAGTGATTTATCAGATGGTGTCCATTCATTAGCATCGGAAGATAATCGAATAACAACTACAATACGTCGAGAATAAAATATATGTGGTTTGATTTTAGTCAGATGAAATGTTGCGTGACTCATTTCTGACTTTTAGTATTCGATTTGTCGTTTTTTCTTTGAATAACATGCGGTGATAGTTTATCTTTACACGAAATTTAATTTAATTCTAGATAGAAAAAAAAAACCTTATCAAAATGAATAACCATATGAAGAGCTGTCAAAATCTAGATGTTGATTCAACAGGTCCATCAAATGTTATTGAGCAAATGATGTCAATAGCAATGCTTGATTATGTTGAAATGAAAAAATTACTATTCAATAATGAGTCAAATGGTTTATCACATGAGTTAGTAGTTTCAAACTATAAAAATAAAATGCTCTAATGATTGTCATGTCGTTTAGAACTAATTATAGTATACCAACGACACCAAGAAAACATCGAAGAGCTATTCTAACGTAATTTTTATCAATTACTTTTTTCTTCATAATTATTATCGTGAATAAAACAAGATTTAAGCAAAAAAAGAAAAAGTTGAAGTATTAAACTTGAAATAACCGAAAAAAGGTCTCAGTCTTTTACCTTATTGCTGTGGAGATACTGTATCTTTATAGTAGTTTTTAAGTCAATGCTATGATTCCATTCAGTAACACTAGAAAAGTCAGTATTCAGCATGTGTCGGAAGTGGATTCTGGTATTGACTTGTAAAATACCCTATGTATGCGGTTTCTTCCCAGCAATTAGGTAACAGGCCGAGTTCTTTTCTAGGTTATTCATATCCCATTAAAATCTACATAATGCAGATAATCCCCAATTGAAAACAATTAATCAGTTCTGCATGGCTAGTCATCGGTCATCTTCATATGAGTAGGTTTCAAAATCACAAAAATTACAGGAAACTATCTCTATAATCAAAGCTGTAATATCGACAGATCATCAAACATGTTTCAAGTTGTGACATACTTAGCAGACAAGTGATATAATCCTATTGTTCTCTGACAGATGCCTAAAAAGAAATTTATTAATTAAATCTACCAAAAGAATTATAGATTTGAACATTATTACATAGCATTATTTTTGCCTGAAAAATAGAAAGAAATTTAGTTATGAAAATTAAATTGACATACTGAAACAACAAAAATTGTCTTCATACTATTTATGAATTAGAAACAAGATAGATTTTTATTATCACAAGTGCAAATGTTAAGTTCTTAAACATTCCTCATTAAAATATTAAAAAAAAGCGAAATTCCGTGATGAACAATTTTTTACTTGTTTATTCAATGCAGTGATGCTTCTATGTTTCAGTATGAAAAGCTAAACTCTCACCCTAGCATAAGAAACAATTTCATTTTTTGATATCCCGTGAGATGATTGATGTCTTTTAAATAATTTAGGTCTGGCTAAAGGAAAGCCAATGAAATTTTTACCTAGTCACAGTATAAAGAATGAAATTCCATGAGACTTCACCATGTCCAGTTGGAGAACATCGATGATTAGCCTTATTAACTCAAGATGTAATCATTTGTTAAATTGAAGCTACCTATCGCTTTCATCTTTCAAATTATTCATGATTATTCCTTTTTTT